GGACTTTTCCTCATATAAATGGCTATTGCTGCTTCTCAAGATGCAAAGATTTACGTAAAAATGTAACTGGCTTCCTATTCTGAAATAGGTAGATGAATTGTAATAATAATAGTACAGTGGGATGTTGGGGTGTTTGCTAATTTTAAACATGAATTCTGTTAACTTTATTATCTATGCTTATATTGTTTGTCAGGTGTCTGTCATTTAGGAGATTAGTTTTTTGTTTGACAGCCCTTATGCTTTTTTGCTTCATGATATCCTTTTAATAGTAAGTTATATTTTAGGTATTTTTATCACTAAATTTTAGTATTAGGACAAAATTTTTTCTTTTAAATTTTTATTTTTTGTTCAAATCCATGTGTCTCCACCTTCCCACCACCACTTTCCCCTGCCCTGCTGCCACCTCCCTCCCTCAATCCTTCCCCACTTTGGCTTTGTCCATGGGTCCTTTATACATGTTCATTGACTTGACCCTTCCCTTTCCCTGCACCCCCCCTCCCCTCTTGGCTCTGTTGGTTTCTTTTTTCTTTCAACATTAATGGTTATATTTTCCTTGCTTGTTTGTTTTGTTAGTTAGGTTCCACTTATAGGTGAGATCATATGGTATTTGTCTTTTGCCCCCTGGCTTATTTCGCTTAGCATAATGCTCTCGAGTTCCATCCATGCTGTCGCGAAGGATAGTAGCTCTTTTTTTTCTTTCTTCTGCATAGTATCCCGTTGTGTAAATGTACCGTAGTTTTTTTTGATCCACTCATCTACTGATGGGCATTGAGGTTGCTTCCAACACTTGGCTACTGTAAATTGTGCTGCTATGAACATTGGGGTGCATAGGTTCTTATGAATTGGCGTTTTGGGATTCTTAGGATATAATCCCAGCAGTAGAATGACTGGGTCAAAAGGCAGTTACATTTTCAGCTTTTTGAGGAAATTCCACACTGCTTTCCACAGTGGCTGCACCAGTCTGCATTCCCACCAACAGTGGACTAGGGTTCCCTTTTCTCCACAGCCTCGCCAGCACCTGTTGTTTGTTGACCTGTTTATGATGGCCGTTCTGACTGGTGTGAAGTGATATCTCATTGTGGTTTTGATCTGCATTTCTCTGATGGCTAGTGATGCTGAGCATCCTTTCAAATGTCTCTGGGCTCTCTGTATCTCTTCCTTGGAGAAGTGTCTGCCCAGGTCCAGGACAGAATATTCTAATGCTAAAAACCAAGTGTATATTTTTTTCTTATTTTGTTATAATGCATGCAATTGGTACTGAAATTTTGTTTGGGGATCTGATAGAACTAGATTCATAGATTCATGCTCTTGTACCACCACTTATTAACAGTATTGCTAGTAGACACTGTGTTTCCTCTCTGAGCCTTTTTTTCTCTCTAAGAAAAGGTAATATTTTCACTTACATTTTCTAGAATTTGATGTAACTACAGTATGATTTGTGGGGGTTTTTTGTTCTTGTGATGGTAATCTTTTAGCATAATTATTTTAAGATTCACACATATGTTGTATGTATCAATAATTATTCATCGTTATTGCTTAGTAGTGCTCCATTGCATGGATATAGTACAGTTCCATTTGGTTTTTGGGTGTTTTTTTTAAGATTTTATTTATTTATGTTTAGAGAGAGGGGAAGGGAGGGAGAAAGAGAGGGAGAGAAACATCAGTGTGTGGTTGCCTCTCGCCCGCCCCCAACTGGTACCTGCCCTGCAACCCAGGCATGTGCCCTGACTGGAAATCGAACCGGCGACCCTTTGGTTTGCAGGCCAACGCTCAGTCCCCTGAGCCATGCCAGCCAGGGCTGGTTTGTTTTGTTGTTTTTTTTTTTGATAGATGTTCCAAAAATGAGCATAAGAGAACTTTTGAAGGTGATGGATATATTCATTATCTTGATGGTGCTGATTGTTTCATGGGTGTATATTTAGCAAATGCACTCTTTCTATTATTGTATATTGATTATAGTTCAAAAAAGCTATTAAAAAATTAAATTGTCACATGATGAATAATTGACGAGAAGAAAAAAATGAAAGTATTTCTATGTTGTTCTAACATATCTCCAGTTTTAAAACCTTACCTATTGTTTAGTGAACCAAAATTAAATACTTTAAAGGCCACTTATGGTTTACATTACTGTGGGTTGTTAATATGTCATATTAAATCATATATTATATTTAAAAGCAGTAAATGTTAAAGGTATTTTTTAATAATATATTCTTTTTCCAAGTTTTAATTAACAGTACTTTGAAATTTTAATGATCTAGTTGCAGACTGTCTTGGTTTGATTGGGTTAATAAACAGTCCAAGAAGGTTGTTCTAGAAGCTCAAGTTTTATTTTTCTTCAAAAGGCTATGTTATCTCATTTATTTGAGACGCTTCAGTCCTCACCTTTGAATTTAGAATCTAAATCTGAAATAATTTAAGCTTATTTTTCTCTCAGCGTGCATCATGTATTATGAAATTAATTTTTATATCTTACCTTTAGGAAATATAGGGCAAATTTTTAGTCCATTTTACTATCTTACTTTAAAGTTAATCTTATTTTAATTAAAACCACTATATACATGCTTATATTATAAAATGTCTGAAATTCAAAATGATCCCATTTAAAACCAATATAATTTCAAACTTATAGAAGTTAGCTTAAAATGTACTATTAATCATAAATAAATAAATAAATAAATAATAACTGGCTTTATTTAGGTCCTTGCTTCATAAGAATTCAAACATACTCCTAGTCCTTTCATCTACACTAAGTTGCCCTAAAATTTATGGCTAGGAAAAGCTTCAAGACGTTACCCAATACTCTAGAGCCAAGGTTAAGAAAGATACCTGTGGAGAGTGTTAGAGCAGGAGTCCTTAGCTAATAGATTGAGCAAACTGGTAGGTCTCAAAGTCAGTATCAGACAGATGTCCTAGATTCCATCTTAAGGTTGCCACTTGGTAGTTTTGCTACTTGATGATCTTGGGCAAGGCATTTTATCTCTGCACCTCAGTTTCTTCATCACTTGTAAAATGCCCTAGCCACCTCTCAGTGATCATATGAGATCACGTGTGTGAGAAAGCTTTGGATATTCAGAAATTTGGGATATGAAAATATATGGTCCTCCTGCTACTTGCTGCCTATATTTCTCTTGATCCTGCTCTTCTTCACTTATAGTTGGCCTGAGGTTTCCAGGTGGGAGGCATAGTCATTATCCTTCCTTCCCTCCCTTCCATCCTGTAATTTCATGGCTACAGGACAATGAAAACTAGCTCCTTCTTAATAAAAGGAATGAAGGTTTCTTCTCTTGAATGTGCTGTTTCATTGAAGATTCATAGAATTTTTGAATTTGACGGAGGCACTTTGATATCATGGAGAAAGTAGAATATGAAGCTTATACCAACCTAAGTATTTTGTCTCTAAGTGTAGGATATATTGAGCATGTGCCAGTATTTATTCTTCACAACAGTGAATCACAGAATGCTTGAGTGATTGTCCAAGGTCTTTGAGCTGGTATTCAAACACAAGCATGTTGTTTCTAGAGCCCAGACTCTTAACCACACTGTCACACTGCCTCTTTAATTATTATTCAACCCTGAGTATCAATGGGAGACTTTAAAAGTGGCGTACATTCACTATAGAGAAGAGAGAATGAAAACTCATAATTTTATAATCCAGAGATAATCACTGTTAGAGCAATTCCCTCCCATTTTTCCTATATCAAGTCATTTACCTGTTTTTGTATATTCAGATTCTTTCCACTTTTCACACTGATAAATAATGCTGCACTGATATTACTAGAAGTGGAACTGTTGGATCAGAGTACATGTCATAAATGCTTGCCATGTATTGATTTCCAGATTGTTGTCTGGGAAGGCTTATATATTATAATCTGTTTCGCAGTGTTTGAAATTGCCCCACTTAGGTTTGTTTAAAAAATTAGTATGATACAAGAAAATAAACTTACTTTCTTTTGTTTCTTGTTCAGTGTTCAAATACCATAGCTTTACCATGCTTCTCTGACAGAGGGCTGTGAAAATTATTTGTCTTTAAGGCAGTGGTTCTCAAGTGGGGAGGATTTTGCCCCCAAGGAATATTTGGCAACGTCTGCAAACATTTTTGATTGTTACGGGGTGGAGCGTGCTACTGGCATCTAGTAGGTAGAGGCCAGAGGTGTATAGGACAGGCCTCATGACAAAGAATTATCCAGTCTAAAATGTCAGTAGTATTGAGGCTTAGAAATTGTCGTTTATAATAAGCCCCTGAAATCTTGATGAAATCTATTGACAAAGGCTCTAAACACTACATCTAATCGTATTATGCAAGAAGATAAATGTTTATGTTTTCCTGGCTTTAGTTAACAGCAAAAGAAGGCAAGCTTTGCTTGGTTAGTGTGTGTCTGGATTGCTGAGTTCTTCATATTTCAAATATAAAATCCAACGGAACCAGTTCTCAGAGAACTTTCCTAAAGCCCTTCGAAAATTTTGAAATGTTTTCTCTCACTCTTTTAATGATTCTACAGTGCATCCTCCTTTAGATTTACCTCAGCTGCTTTGTTATTTGGGGTTACACTAAAATATATAATGTCTCTGATTCCCAGTTATTTGGGGTCTTTCATTTGGGGTTCATTTCATCTACCTTTAATTTTCTTATTAGTTACAAAAAAAAAAACCTTTTGCAACTAGTGATAATACACATAAAAATATCATTAGGACTTTATTTCTGTATCATTAGTAGGCAGGAAAATGCTCAGTGTGCCCAAATTCCTCTATCTTGTAGCCATCAATCCTCACCAAGGAGCATATGATGATCTTACCTGTTGGGGGAGGGGAGGAGAGTCATTTTTATTAATTTGTTACATTTTTATGTAGGTTCAAAAAACTTTTGAATTTCTCTGAATTCTTTTGAATACATATCTTGGGACTGCTAGAGCTGAAATAATTGTTGTCTTTATTCTATTTTTATAGTTCCACTTTGTCTACAAAAAGACTATTCATGTGCTTTGTCCTTTTGTGCTTCACAGGAACCAGCACCTATGACAGAAGACCTACTTGAAGAGCAGTCGGAGGTTCTAGCTAAATTAGGAACATCAGCAGAAGGGGCTCACCTCCGAGCACGCATGCAGAGTGCCTGTCTGCTGTCAGATATGGAGTCTTTTAAGGTGGGTCACGCTATCAGAGCTCGGGATTCTATTTTGAGTTATTCTGAGATGAAGCTGTGAAAGTCCCTGAATAAAGTGGTGTGAAGACCTGAATGTCTTTTATTAAAAGTTTGTTTCATTTGTAGCTAATAACACCTCACTTCTATCACCTAAAGGTTGTACTCAGAGTTGCTTCTTAAGTTGAAAGAAAGAAAAGAACAATCTTTGAATAATAGTTGAAAGATCAGAATTGAATTATTTTTATATGTGCATTGGGATGTCTTCCTCCTTTGTGTGTGTTCAACCAATATAATGCAGGGCTTTTAGAAAACTCTTAGGATTTAACATAGTTTCCTTCATTCAACAAACCTTTGATATCCTACTTTGTGACTTGCACTATGATTAGATAAGTGAGAAGTACAGTGTTTATCCTCAGCTACAGTCTATTGATGAAGGCGATGTGTAAATAATTATGTGGTAAGTTCTCTAATGAAGGTAAGGTCTAAAAGATGACTGACTTTACTGAGTGGGACATGGAAGGTTTCACAGATGAGTCACCATTTAGGATGAATAGGCATTTGCTACCTGGAGAAGACTATTTTAGGCTTAAATATAGGCCTGTATCTAGACTGTAGAGAATTCAGAGAATGATGCTGGGATTGAAGAAAAATTCTGTGGGTTTTTTTTTTTAATTTTTGAAAGAAGAGGCAAGTTTGTGTGTGTGCGTATGCCCGCGCGCGCACACGTATAGATAGATAGATAGATAGATAGATAGATAGATAGATAGATAGATAGATAGATAGGTAGGTAGGTAGATAGATAGGTAGATAGATAAATAGATATAAAAAACAAAACAAGTGCTTAGCCCGTTGGGCCACAGCCTTCTCTTTCCTATTGCTGATACTCTGAACAGTCTCCCAGACCCAGACTTTCCTCCTTAACCTACCACTACTTGCAATGGCCTCCATCTCCCATTTCATGTGCCCTACTCATCCTTTGTGCTATGTAGGCCAGCCTCAGTTTGATTTTTTTTCCCAACATAAACACCCCATGAAAACCTATGCCACTTTTATCTTTCCTGATAGCAAATTTGTGACAATAAAAGGGAGCCTCTTTATTCCCTGCTTATTTCCCTCATATTTACAAAAAGAAAAAATCTTTAGTAAACCTTTTAAGAGCTGCATGTTTTCCTTAGAGAGTTAAAAATGTAGAATATCTGTGAGTTCTATTCTGCTGTGAAATAAGAAAGAGAATGTGTTGTTTTAAAACAAAGAGTTGCTATAGTGAATAAAGAAAAGTCAGTTGGCTCTCATGGCATGTGTTAAAAATGTAGATCAGGGAATTGGTGTCCAGGTATGTGTGCACAGGAGGAAATACTAGCCTGCTCAGCAGCTGTTTTATGCCTGACCTCTACCTGCCTTCATATTCATCTGTCCGGGTCCTACTACAGTGTCCTTGCAGAGGCAAGTACAGAATGAAACTCCAAATTGGAATTGTAAAAGCTCTTCCCCCATAGAAATATGTTGGTGCCTCATGGTAAGGCTCTGTATAATTCCTTTAACCCTGTGCTTCAGCAAAACTGTGGTTCCTGAAATTCGTTTGGAATAATCTGGGAACCTATGAGTCTCTTACAGCATTGTTTTAATCAGAAAATAGACTGTATTTCAAATAGTACATTTTATACATCTGTCCAAATGTAGGAATCAAATAATATAGTTAAGGAAATATGTAGTTACTTTAAAACAGATAGGATTTACTTTCCTTTTTTACATAGTAATGACTTCCTTTAGGGGACCTTGGGAGAATCCCCAGAGCTTTGGATAAATGCTTTAATGTACCTACGGTACCTACACCTGACAACTCCAGAAGCACAGGGCCTGTTCTTGAGCATGCCCTTGGAGTATGTACCTGAAAAAGCAGAACCAAGATAAGCCATAGATGAAGTGAGTCTTGACCTGCTCCTGGTAGTTGTTTGTTTAGCCTGGTATAGTAAGGACAACCAGAAGGAAGAATTCTGGTGTGGACTACTTTTTCTTTAACACAGTGTATGGTACAGGAGGTCAGTATTCTTTTTTTTTTTTTAAGTTCTCCCTCTTCACTCAAGGCCCATGTATAGTTTCCTAAGATGTTTTCCTGGTTAATATCCAGGTTTTTATGTATGAATCCTGAATCATGAGTAATCTTAGCTCTTTGCAGTTCACAGCAGTACTTTGTTGCCATAGCACCTACAAGTTTATGTTGTTGACTATCAGTTAATGACCCTTCTCTGATTTCTATCCCCTCAGGGGGATTTCCTAACCTGGGGACGATTAAGCTGGTAGCCTCTGAGCTCAAGAGGGAGGAATTGTCAGTTTTGCTCTTCACATTTAAGACTAACCATTCTCATCATGTGTGTTTGCATTTTGGTCTTTCAATTTAATTTAAAAAGAAAGAAAATGACCTTCTGTTTAGCACTTCTTTGTTAATGCTTACATCACTTACTATTACAGGCAATTAAATAGAGTACTCACAGCAGGAAGATTACATTGTGGTAGGAAATATAACCAAAGGTATGTGTTTAATGTTTGTACACATATCTTTTGAGTATTAGAGGTTGATGTATATACCCATCCTAAGTACTCTGCTCATATATTACTGGACACTTGCAAAAAAGAACTATGTGCCTTACCACTAACACTGTAAAGCCTCTACTTTTTTCCCAGGCTTGAATGCAGATTAGTTAAAGGATTTTGAAATGTGCCATTGTTTTATAATCCATTGTTAATTCTATAGAATTATCCACTAAGTAAAACTTTAGTTTTCAGAAACCTGAAAAACAATAGTTTGAATTTCAGTTCCTTAACAGCACAAAAGCAATTTATGTGATAGTAATTTGTTACATAAAGCTCAAGAATTTGATGGCTAAATAGAACATTTTTGAGATTAGCTGATATTTACTGCAATACCAGTATTAATTTTTTGAGGAAAAAATTAGCAGAACTTTTTCACTATTATGTTATTATTCTGATCATGTTGTATATTATTTAATTTACTTGCACTTACTTGATACTTTTCTAAGTACTATCATTTTAAACTATGTAACTTATCCGTTTAAGAGAATTATTTTCACATTACATCAAATTTTTGTTTCCAAATTCATCAAATGAAAGTGTTTGCTTTTTCTGTAAAACAGACAGCAAAACCAAAAGGCTTTTGGTACTTGAACATCAGATCTGTTTTGAGGTGACACTCAAGCTCATGTCACATACTAGATTTTGTAAAGATTAGGTAGGCTTTTTATGAAAAGGAAAGTACTAATATGATTTTGCAAACAGGTTTATCTGTAACTGTTCGTTTTTATTTAAATCTGCTAAAATTTTTGCCTTGTTTTAGGCAGCTAATCCAGGATGTTGCCTGGAAGATTTTGTGAGATGGTACTCACCCCGGGATTATATTGAAGAGGAAGTGATTGATGAAAAGGGAAACGTGGTTCTAAAAGGAGAACTTAGTGCCCGAATGAAGATTCCAAGTAACATGTGGGTAGAAGCCTGGGAAACTGCTAAGCCAGTTCCTGCTAGAAGGCAAAGGAGACTCTTTGATGATACACGGGAAGCAGAAAAGGTAACTGAGGTTTGAGTATCTAATACTAAAACGGTAATTATTGTTCTAGCATTTTAAAAACGTACTGTCATAGACATGAGAGCTTTGGACAAACCTGAGAAGCAAAACATTGAAATTTAATGAGCCTTTTGTATATCTATTATTTACATGTAAGATTTTAGAACTAGTTGCAGATTGTACCAAAAATAAGACATGCATATTTTATGCATTTTACCATGGGAATTGTCTCACAGCATTTATCAAAAGTCTTAAAAATGATCATGTCCTTTGACCTAGCAATTCTACTACCAAGAAGTTTATTAAGGAAGTAATGAGAAAGATCAATGTACAGGAATGATGATCAACAAAGTTTTTTAGTGAAAAAGTGGATACAACCAAAGTTACCAAAACTAAGCTTGGTTCAATAAATTATGGTATGATCATTTAGTGGACTGCTTTGCAAGTAGTAAAAAAATATTTGGAGCTCAGGCAAGTAGTGGTAGCTGTCCGATATCAAATTGCCCTACACACCTCCCCCAAAATCCCATGCAGTTAATAAGTAAATAAATCCATGCCTTAAGCATTACTGGGAGATGGAGATTACAGTGACCTTCAAAATAACAGCAAGTAGAGAAACAAGCTGAATTCCATTGGAATTTCCATTACTGTGGATATAGAGAGGGAGGACCGGAAGTTTTTAGAAAAGGTGAGGGATACAGAAGACTTAGATGGAGCAGAGTCACCCCAGAAAGAAAGGGCTTAACACTAGGTGCCACTATACTCAATACAGGACTGGCTCCAGGGAAGGGGCTTTAAAGTAAGCAAGACTAGAAATGAACACTCCAAGAAACTGCCTTGGGAAGAACCAGATATACAGAGAAGGATTGATCCCCTTCAATGATGGGAAAGAAGGAAATAAGAGGAAAATTAAGGATCTTGCAGAAGTGAAAGAGAAATAAGCCTTATCAGCCTCCCTCATCCTCTGCCATCAGTTAAAGAAATTGTGCAGAAAAGGGCACTTTCAAATTATGACATGACTAGGAATAATAAAGAGCAGACCGCATCCATACAAAACTACTACTAAAGAAAAAAAAATGCAATTGGATCATTTTAGCTAATGAAAACATTTCCCAGAAATCAAACATGAAGCAGAGTATTGTTAATGTAACATTCCATACTGAATCGGATATCTTTAAATAAAGCATAGAGGATATGAAAAATCATGTTTAATTTGAAATACTAAAACCAAGAGCAAAAATGGACCCAAAAACTCAGGATAGAAACAGAAGAAAAAGAAAGCCATATAAAAATAAAAACTAAATTATAAGGAACCCAAGGGAGAATAAATTAATATTTAAATTTAAGAAAAGGCATCAAGAAGAGCAGCAAAACAGCCAAGAGAAGGAAAATGAGATAAAGGAATAAAAAGGGTTGGGGAGAATGTAATAGAAATGGAAGATAGGGCAAGAAGGAATAATGCTCATTTTATCAGAGTCCTTGAAGAAGAAAAATCAAAATAATAAGGCAGAACTAATGTTAAAAGCTGCAGTCCAAGAAATTTTTTAAAAAGAAAAGAAAACCTGAATATACATATTCAAAGGACTCACTGGGTATAGGGGAAAATTGACAAGGTAGTCCCAGTGCTTTATAAATTGTTTCAATGCATAGGATATTAATCAGGAAATTTGCTAAATCTTTTTATGAAGTAACTATAACATTAGTACCTAAACCTCATGAAGATAACATATAAAAAAAGATTCAGACCAGTACTAAGAAATTAAATGCAAAAATTCTAAGTGACAATTAGACAATTAGACAAATTGACTAAAGGATGATTATTTGGAAGTCTATTTATAAAACTGACTTAAATAATAGGTCTAAGCAAAAAATTATGTAATCTTCATATGTACTATAAAAGTCTTTGATAAAATTTAATACCTATTCCTAATAAAAACTCTTGAGAAAATAAGAATGGATGGATATTTTCTTTAAATGATAAAATATTGGGTTGGCAAAAAAAATCCGATTTAGTTTTTTTCTGTAAAATAAAAGACATTTTTCACTTTTACCAATAATTTTATTCATTTGGATATTTTGAGTATGCCAGCTATCTCCCACCTGGTATAACATTGATTGTTCTCAATTAACGTTTCAATTTGATCTCTATCAACTTTTGCTGGTCTACTTGATGGTGGACCACCGTCCAGCAAGAAATCTCCAGCACCAAATTTCACAAACCGCTTTGGACACATTCGATCAGTCACAGCACCTTCTCCATACACTTCACAAATGGTTTTTTGTGTTTCAGTTGTATTTTTACCTTTCTTGAAATATTGAAACATAATATGCTGAAAATGTTGCATATTTTCTTTCATCTTCAATATTAAAATGGCTATACAAAAATTCACCAATTTTGATAAGTTTTTTTTTAATGTACACTAAAACAACTGTCACAATACAACCTAACAAAATTGTTTTGAATGAAGTTAAAGACAACTAACTGCTACTAGAGCCATCTTTAAAAAAAAAAAAAAAATGACCTTTTTGGATAAACCAATAAATATAGACCTCAATTCTAAACCCAGCGTCTTAATGGGGGAAACCCTACAGGCATTCCCACTAAAGTCAGGAACAAGGAAAAGGTGCCTACTGTCTTTGCTGCCATTTAACATTATTCTGAAGGTATTAGCCAATGTGATTAGAAAAGAGAAAATGCAAGTATAGGACTTAAAAAGAAGACAGACCTTTTTTGTTTGCAGATGATGGGACAGTATACCTGGGAAAATCTAAAGAATCAGTGATAAAACTGATTCAAATATAAGAATTCACAAGGTAGCAGGATATAAAGTTAACATACAGCTAGTAGCATTCATATACACAAATAATAAGCATTCCCAAGATGTATGTGTCATTTTCTTTTGATCATAAAAGAAAAGTGGTAAAATACTTAGGAATAAACTTAACAAGAAATGTTTGAAATCTGAATAAAGACAGTAAAACACTTCTGAAATGCATACTTCAACAAATAGATATCCCTTTTTCTTATTTAGGAATTCTAAACATCATTAAGTTCAATTCTCCCTAAATTAATTTATAAATTTAGTGAAATCCCAGTAAAAATACCAAAAGACTTTATTATAGAGCCAAATTGATACAGAAGTTCATACAGAAATAAAGAAAAACATGCGGACTTAGGATTCAGGGATTTCAAGAGCTGAGTGTTAATGGGTTTCTTTTGGAGATTATGGAAATGTTTTAAAATTGTGGATTTGGTTGTACAACTCTGAACATACCTAAGACTAACTGTAACACTTAAGTAACACTTTAAATGGGCAAATTGTTACTTAAAATGAGCGTGCAAGAGTAGCTAAGAATAGATTGAAAAGAAAGAGTTATGGGGGAGGGGATACTGGAGGGGAGCAACTAACCCAACCAGATATTAAAGCAGAGTACAAAGCCCCAGTATTTAAATAATGTTATAGTGGCCCATAAAGAGCTCAGTGAAACAGAATAGAAAGTCCATAAATACATGTAGAAATCTAGTATATGATGAAGATGGCATGAAAAATCACTGGAGTATAGATGGCCTTTCTAATAAATAGTCTTGGGTTAAGTGAACAACCATTTTGCAAAAGATAAAATTAGATCCACCTGTCCTTCTGTACCCAAGAATGGACTGAAGATGAAACCATGGGAGTACTAGAAGGAAACATGGGTGAGTTCCTCTATAGCTTGGATATAGAGAAAGGCTTTCTAATTAGGAGTCAAAACCCAATGCAGTTAAATATGTAGTTGATAAAATTTGTGTAAAAATAAAATCTTTTACATGGCCAAAGAAAGTTAAAGACAAAAGACATGATATGCTGAAAATATTTGTAAGCTGGGAGAAATATGTGCATTACAGATAAAGGGCCAAAATACTACAGAAAAATGGGCAAGAAATATGAGTAGACAATTCAAAATAAAGGATAATAATACTTAAACCTATCAAAAGGTGTTCAGCTTCATAATAAGAGAAATGCAAATTAAAATATACTAAGATAACCATTTCTCATATATCAGATTGGCAAAAATTTAAAAGCTTGATATATATTTGGTGATGCCCTGAGGCAACAGATCTTCTCATACACTCATTACTGGTGAGAGGCAAAGTAATACACTCTACCGGTGCCCCACCTCTTTGGAGGGGCATTTGGCACTATTTAACAAAACTTACATATGTCTTGACCCTCTGACCTAGAAGCAATCCTATTTGCAGAGATTTACCCTAATATTTCAACAGTACAAAAATAAAGATGCACTAAGTTGTTTGATGCTGTAATTACTTGTAATTACAAAATATTAGAAACTGCGTTGACTGTTGTGGCTCAATGGGTTGGCTGTTGTCCCATAAACCAAAAGGTCACCTGGTTCGTTTCCCAGTCAGGTCACATGCCTGGGTTGCAGGCCCAGCCCCTAAGAGGCAACTAGTTGATGTTTCTCCCTCCTTTCCCCTCTCTCTAAAAATAAATAAATAAAATTGTTTTTAAAAATAAATAAGTAAAATCTTTTAAAATAGGTTTTAAATTACTAAAACCTATCTACAGGCCCAAATTTAGAAGCTTTCTTGAATAAACTATGGTTCAACGATGTAATTGAGTACAGTGCAGTGTAAAAGAATATATATTGTGTGCTTCACTTTGTGTAAAAAAGAAATAAGGGGAACTAAGAAAACATATCTACCTGTCTTTACAAAAAGGAATTCAGTCAGGATAAATTAGAAAACACTGAAATTAGTTAACAAAAATGGTTGGAAGGGGGAGGGACAGGCAGAGTAGAAGGAATATGGGAAGGAGTAACACAGAAAAGAGTATACTTTCCATATGTTTTTGATTTCTGAAAAAATGTTAATGGCCTACATATTCAAATATTTAATCAACAAGATTGGAAAGAGGAGAAATAACCTAAAGCTGAAAGCAAGCTGAGATAAATTAACCTTGCTCTATTAACACATAACCAGTTCCACCTGGGGGCTGGTCCTA